ACTTAGAGGGACTGAAAATTATTAATGCTTACTAATTTCACATCTAACATTTTATGATAGATTCCGGGAACGTGCCATCACTGCGTTCATCCCAATTCCACATCATACTTTCTTTTCAGGATGTTTTATCTTGAGTCCTCTTTTTTTGGAACACTTGGTAGATGATGCTAATTGGTTTGTATTCTTGTAATAGTTTTCATATGCAGTTTTCTGCTAAAAAGTACTGAATATTTTAGTCATCAAGGTCAGCCATATCTTATTTCTTGACCTTGAATCACTCAAGGAAGTGTTTTCACTGAGAAAGTGAAGGAAAACACCGAAATTGGAAGGAGCATTGGAATAGCGAAAGATGATTTCCAACAACTAAAGACATTTTTAACAAAACAAGACGACCTTGCTAGAAACAAAGAAGAATACATAACTATTACGTAATTTCGTTGTTTGTATATGGAAGTGAATACTGGGCTATCTCATCACAGATTAAGAAAAGACATGGAACAAGAAAAGAGCAGCTCTACAAAAGGATGCCGAGAATACAAGGGACTGAACATATGAGCAATGACGAAGTTTTAGAAAAAAATGATGTCAAAAAAGAGACTTATACTAAACATTAGAGACTGCTGAAATTTCCTGACACATAAGGAAGAAAGAGGCCTTAGAAAATTTGACACTTACTGGCCATAGTAAGAGGGACAAAGGAAAGAGGCACATAACCAACCTAACAAGCTTGCATAAATGGATGGCAGAACAGCGATTACTAGAGATGGCAAAAAAAAAAATATTAAGAGCTACAAATTACAGGAAATTGTGGAGAGCTATATGAGCTAACGTCCTGAATGGACACGGCACATAAACAAGAAATTTAAATTTAAAATATAATATTTTTTTACACACAAGCTCGATATTATGTAAATAAAAATCCTACGTTCATTTTCTGAACAAGTCTTTGGTCGATTATGCAAACATCTCTGCGACAACGTAAAACTCACAAAAGAAATGAAAATCAAAGTCAACAAGCAGCCCATATATAGTGTCAAGTCTTGGTTAAATTGAATCCGCACGATTCTAAAAAGTGTATTAGAGGGATTTCCTCACTAAATCTATAAGTATAGAATCAGTTCCTGCCAAAAGTTTTTAAACTATACTGAAAAAAGGAAAACATCTGGAGTACAATAGGCTAGCTATGTCAGAAAAATAGAAATCTTTTGTTTTCCAAAGATGCCACTAATGGAAGAACTCGCCTCTAGCCGATGGAAAGGTTGTTGGAGATGAGTAAAAAAAAAAAAAAAAAATCTTAGAAAGGTGACTTCATCTCCTGTGGAGTTAATCACCTTCGGTGGGAAAGAGACGTATCCAACCTGACGACATTAAGGCTTTAAATTTATCAGGCAACCAACCGAACATAATCAAATCGGAAAAAAGAAGAAACTGGGTAACGTCACAAGGCTCGAGTCTCTGCCCACTGCTCTCCAGTATTCGATATGGAAAGCCTGCCGCTTGCTCTTTATCCACCTAAGACGATGTAAGTGATGCGGAAGACCAACACATATCTTCGTTCGTGAGGCCAAGACATAACAGATTCCGCGAAAAAAATGTATATACTTACTTCAGGAAAGGAAAACGAAAATTTATATATATATATTGATTTTCTAAGCGTAACTTAAATGTGGCACAAGGCCGAAAGTATGGGGCATCTAGTGAGGATCGAACTCACTTTTCAGTTGTAAATGATCTAGCTAGATAATTTCATTACATATATATATATATATAATATATATATATATATATATATATATATATATATATATATATATATATATATATATATATATATCAGAAATATAATACTAATTTCAATGGGGGAAATTGATTTGAGATATGAATCTTTTTGAGTTACAAGCTTGGCCCTGGAATGAATTAAACTTGTATCTCAAGGCATTACTCTCTCTCTCTTTATATATATATATATATATTTGGTTGATTTGCAAATCCCTGCTGTTCCACAACAATGAACCATTTCAACAACCAAATATGTTAGCTCTATCTCTGATATTGAGCGCTATCTTATAAGTACCGCGCATATAATATATATATATATATATATATATATATATATATGTTTTTCATATATATATATATATAACGCTTAGATTGTATTAAAAAAAATATGGATCGATATTGTGAATTTTTTCTTCGTTCAACGATAATGTTATCAAACTTATCAGACATTATGAAAAAAATTTACATAAAATAGACAACACTTGTCTATATTATTTAATGAAACGTGTATGAATGAAAAGATGCTGCCTAAATACACACAATATATATATATATATATATATATATATATATATATATATATATATATATATAACGGCAGAAGTTCATGTTTGTAGCTCTTTTTTTTTTTAAAACCTTTTTTCCCTCGAGATTGATTTGATTATTAGCAAATCAAAAATTCGAGGGTTTTTCGAAACGAGTTTAGTTATATATATATATATATTTGAATAAACCTATTTTTTACGTATTTATTTATTATATTTTACCCGTGACATCATACAATATGCAGCAACAATACATCCTACGTAATTGTAAGACATTAATTAGATAGGGACATCATTGTCACCTGCCTAAATTCTCTACCACCACGTGACAGTTTAAAATGCTGGAGTTATTTCTGCCGCACCCTGAAGTTTATATCTTATCATCATATGAAAGTTATATGTGGGAAGTATTTCTTCCACATCCTCTATAAATAGTAGATTTAATTTAATTCGGTACCAACTGTTCTTCGAAACAAGTTTTTTAAAAACATAAATCCCTGTCATTGCATGTGACTGATACACGTTGCCGTTGAACTTTGCTGACATGACTTCTTGCGTTTTGACTTATCGAATAGAAGTTTAAAATAAATTAAGGTCATTTTTAAAAAAGAGCAAGTTAGAACACTTTATTGTTTTCTTTCTTTCATTTAACTTTTTTTCACCCTTCCTGAAGATTACCCATATGAATCGAAAATTTAGAGCCAACCTTGATTCTTAAAACTAATATTCGCCCCATACATCTGCCAAAGAGCCACTCAAAGCAGAGGGTTGTTGAAGGCGTTTTTTTGTGTATTAGCGTTAAGAGTAAGAGGTAAGAAATGCAGTCCATAACGATACATATATTTTTGGTATCTGCTGTAGCTAGGTTCGTGGGAGATGGTTCACTGTTTAAAAAATGGGATGTATAAATCAAGCAAACATAGATTGTATATCCTTGTTAATAAAATAATATTTTCATAGATATTTCTGACAGTGATTGTATATTATTTATTTATTAAGAATTGTATTAAACAATTGATAGAAAACACTCTTAAAAATGTTCAGATCATGCACGCATGCGCAGTTCAGCACAGTTAAAAGCTCACTGGCATAGAGAAGAGAAATAATCTTAAATAGTTTAAATGTGAGTATTATAAAGTAGAGTTCTTTCAGATTCCTTCTGATTTTAATTTGAAAATCAATACCCTTCAGGTTTATTTAGGTCTGCGGCAACTGATTTTTAATTTGGATTTCTTGGAATCGTTCACAGAGGTTCTTACCTCAATGTTGAACCCACCCACCAATCTCCTGAGAATTCATCGTGAAGACGATTAATGATTCTGACAACTGCCGTTATAGCAAGAGCAAATACCACAAGACGTAGGTGCGCATTTAAAGGCAGTGAGAATGGATTACTAAGATAATAAACTAAAACGTCAATTCCACGCAGATGAATGCGAATTATAGACTTTCCGACACCGATATCATGCGTTGTCATTTCCTTCGAGCTTTGTATTTCATAACGGTGTCCCCCGGCAAGATGTCTTCCTTTTAGAATATTCCCTCTCTTTCCATCCTGAAGCGTTAATTAATGAAAAATATTTTTTTTTTAAATAGTTAAAATAAAATAAAAATGGAGGAAAACTACAGAAAAAGAAATATGTTTTCTATTATACATCTTATTTCATAGCATGGGTAATTACCCCTCCAGGGAAAATAATTCAAATGGATGTTTGGTTATTTTGTTTTCCATCTTTGTTCATTCAGTCGTTCATGTATTAATTTATTTATTTCGCTCATTTTTAAGAAAATGTCTTTGAAAAATGTTTATTTTCATTTCGTTTCATTTCGTCCTATTTAGTTGCGCTTCGTTTCTTTTTGCTTTTTATTGTCTTGTAATTCATTTTTTGCCATTAACTTTCATTTTGCTTATAAAACTGTTCGCTGTTTTTTTTATTGAAACAATGTGTTGAGAGAGAGAGAAAGAGAGAGCGAGAAAAAGAAACCAAAAAGATAGTTAGAGGGAATTGTAACTCTCCTTTGATAGAGACATTTAGATCATTCCAATATGTTCAGAATTGTTAAATGAAAAATAATAGTTGGCGTTAAAGGTTAACGCTTTCAAGATGGCGACTGACTCCTCTATTAAAGTGTATCATATTGTTGTAATGTGATTGATTGTTAAGGCGTGTATGAACGAACGTAGTTTCGGATAATGTCGTCTTTTAAAATAATTTTTGCATTAAAAAATAGTAGATCGATTGAAATTAATCTGGAGATATTGTTTTCGTTTGATCGAGAATTAAACATTGAAGAATTCATTCGATCGAAGGAAGAAAAAGAAATGCTGGAAATTTTATTCTTTAAAAATTCCTGATGCAAAAAATAAATGAAGTACGTTGGTGTGTATGACGCATATTTTATTTTTTCCCTGGTGGCAATGAAAAAAAAAACAAAAAAAAAAAAAAACGGGAAATTGAGGAAAGTTAGATAGCCGATCTCACAAGCTATTGCTAGTAAGCATTTTATTAACTGGTTGGTAACCCAAAGTGTGCTTAAATCGACCTTATTTAACAAAGATGAATATATTGATAGGAAGAAAAGGCGGAAGAATAACACAAATAAATACGATAAAAGAGAAAGACGAACAAAGACAGATGCAGAAGTGGCAAGGAAAAAGGAAAGAGAGTAAGGATGTCATAAAAGAGAAAGCAGACAGTGCTTGTGGAGGAAAAAGTGAGAGGGGGAGGAAAGAATGATGAGAGGCAGTGATTGGGGAGGAAAAGGAGAGAGGGGGAGGAAAGAGGGAGAGAGGCAGTGATTGGGGAAGGAAGAGAGATAAAGGAGAGAGAAAAAAGGGGAAGGAAGAGAGATAAAGGGGAAGGAAGAGAGATAAAGGGGAAGGAAGAGAGATAAAGGGGAAGGAAGAGAGATAAAGGAGAGAGAAAAAAGGGGAAGGAAGAGAGATAAAGGAGAGAGAAAAAAGGGGAAGGAAGAGAGATAAAGGAGAGAGAAAAAAGGGGAAGGAAGAGAAATAAAGGAGAGAGAAAAAAGGGGAAGGAAGAGAAATAAAGGAGAGAGAAAAAAGGGGAAGGAAGAGAGATAAAGGAGAGAGAAAAAAGGGGAAGGAAGAGAGGTAAAGGAGAGAGAAAAAAGGGGAAGGAAGAGAGATAAAGGAGAGAGAAAAAAGGGGAAGGAAGAGAGATAAAGGAGAGAGAAAAAAGGGACAGAAAGAGAAGTGGATAAAACAGAGAAGAAGAAAAAGGAAAGGCGAAAGGAAGCAAAAAAGGAGAACGGGAACTCTCATTATCACTGTCCCAAATATAAGAAAGATCTTCCACTCAGACAGCTAGTTTCCATAAAATATTATCTGGGACAGACTCCCTGCTAGAAGATTACCTGAATACTTTAATGTGGGTAACTCTGCTCATTTTCGATACCTTGGTTTAAAATGAATTTTTATAAATGAAAAAAAAAATCTTTTTAGCTTCCATTGAAGGCTACATGATTAAATTTACCATGTCCAGTAAGCAAACTATCCTCGTGCATTTCAAACAAATTATATTGATTGAAATCACAACATTTTGGTCGCTTTCAAAACCTCATTTACATTCGGCACATTTTTAAACAAAATTAAATTCTAGGATTTAAAAATATTCCAAAAATAAGATTATATATATATATATATATATATATATATATATATATATAAAATAATGGACTCTCCCGTCGATTTCGACGTATGAAGATCTGACAGCATAATTGATTCAGTTATTAAATTTTGTGCGATTATCTGAAGTGGCACTTAAAACCCGCTAGTGATTTACAAAGAAGGTCACATATGGAGCAAGAATGAGGATTGTGAGATGCGATCACTGTTAGATTGGCTGACCTTTTAGATCTTGCTCTCGCTTCTTGAAGATGATTCAGGCAAGCAGATTGAAAACTGCTGAGTCCACTAAACTCACGTTGATCCCATTCTACCCGCTCCAATGCTAAGCACTCAAGGGTGTTATGTGGTATATTGACAGCTGACAAGATATATATGTGTGCGTGTGTGTGTGTGACACGTTAATTGAGGAAAATTAGCAAATTTAAAGAAACAAATATTACTTATAGCATATAAAACGTACTATACAAGCATTTCTTAACCACGGAATCTTGTTTTACTGACGTGCTGAATGATTTATTGACAACCAGACGTGTTGACAGCTAAGTATGGTGGATCAGAATGGACATAAATTTACGAAATCTAAGTGAACGCATTTTTTGGTTTTTAACTACCGAGTAATTTTTAAAAATAAACATTTTTAGCAATTATCTTAGATTTTATTGAATTTTAATTACTTTAACTTTATATCCTTACTTTTGAGTATGCTTTCTGAAAAAAAAAAATAAATATAAAATTTAAAATACTATAAAATTTTCTTTAAAAAAAATTAAAAACCGAGATATTAATGAAATACCATGTGAGCAGTAACTCAATAATTTATGAAATTTTATGGTATTTTATTACTAATTTATATTTTTAATATCTATTTTTCATTCTATTTTTATTTACAGTTGTTAACATAATGGTTAGGAAATGTTAGTGTTATTTTTATAGTATTATAAATTTTATTATTAATTACGTAATTGTTTACACTTCTATTATTTTATACGAGTTATATACAAAAAAAATTAAAAATATTTAGTGAAATAGTAATTAAAAAAATAAAACTTACTTTAAAATTTTGAAGGGATGGTTTGCAAAGAAGTAAACGATGAAACACAAATGAATAATAAAAGAATTGCAGACCGACAAATTCATCGTCGGGTAAGACCTCTTAAAACACGTGACCTGTTAAAGATAATATCATGTATGGACTACCATACTTACAAAAATGGTTACACACACGCACACAAAAAAAAAAAAAAAAAGGAAAAAGAAAAAATATTGGGTGGAAACGATTTTTTTGAGCTTTTCAATTTTTGATTCGTACATATAGTTTTCACTTAACTACAATATCACCTAACCTAAAGTAATGCAGAATTTTAAACAATTTATAAACTATTTTAACTAAAATTTAAAAACGATGAAAAAAATTATTGTAAAAAATTCATTATTCATCGAATTTTTTCTCTTCAGATAATAGTGTCCTAAATAAAAATCGTATTTATAAAAGAAATTAAAAGCTTTGTTTAAGAAAATAATTCTATAATTTCATCGCGTTTTTAATTTTACGATTCAGAGCAAATTTTCGGTAACTGCTGTCCCGTTTTACAAAAAAACTGATGATTTAAATTCCCCAAAGAGTCCTGTTTTTAACTGATAAATCTAAAAAACATTAATAAAATAATTAAAAAATACTTTGTTATTATAAAGAAAAAAGACCAAACATTTTGACGAAAAAACTTTGTTTTTATTAAGTTTGGGACTTTTTCATCATGCTATGCAGCTTTTTTAGCGTAATTTTTAGCGTCTAATGTCGACCTCTTCAAGGCAACGGTCAATGGTTATCTATCCTCATCATCCTCATGTTCAAGCACCCTTTCTTCGGTTCATATCGCACAATTTACTATTAACGCTTCGACTCTATCTTGAACGAATCTCGAGCGTCATAGCGCGTGAAATGTAGCGTGCATAAAATTTCCGAATATTCAAATTGATCCTAATATGGAACCTGATTATAATTATGAAAGTCAAATCCCTTAGTATCATAATGATCCGATTTCTGTATAATTGTTACTGTATAACAGAAATACAGCATGCCAGAACAAAAACAAAAAAAAAAGAACAAAAACAAAAAAAAGAACAAAAACAAAAAAAAGAACAAAAACAAAAAAAAGAACAAAAACAAAAAAAAGAACAAAAACAAAAAAAAGAACAAAAACAAAAAACGAACAAAAACAAAAAAAAAACAAAAAAACAAAAAAAATAAACGTTTAGCGTATAGATTTGAAATGGTCTACCTTGAAAAAAATGTATTTTCTAATAGAATCTTGTCACCAGTTTCCAAGTAAATTCTAATCATTTACATATAAATTAAGAAAGTACTTATTTCCAAGGGAGATAATAAATGTATCTATTACATAAATACGTATTAAATAGACTCGTTACACATTAAGGAAATGGGATGAATTTTCTTTGTAAACGTAGATTGATAAGCCCTAAAATATAATCAATCTTTTGCAGCCGGTAAATATTGTTAGATTATAAGTTTTGGGGAGGTAATGATGATATAGTGAAACTAGTCCTACTAATTAACTCATAATTCGGACAGAAGCGTCGGATTCATACTTTTCCCGAGGGTATTTGTGCGTAAGTGAATATAACGAACCTGACTGGAATTGGAACACGGCTCTCCGATTTCACAGCCATTAACCATTACACTAGCTGGGCATCCAAGCTTACAGCAGTTGGTACTCCCAGATGGTCACCAATCAGGGTACTGACCAGTTTCGACGTTGCTTAATTTCGATGAACGTACGAGAACCGGCGTCTCAACGTGATACGGTCGTAAGCCCTTAAACGTAGATGTATATCTATCATGACCATTTATTAATAAGAATCTCGGTTATGACCACATCACGTTGAAACGCAGATTCTCGTACGTTCATCGAAGTTAAGCAACGTCGAGCCTGGTCAGTACCTAGAAATGTGTTTAGAAATACCAGGTGCTGTAGGTTTGGGTGTGCGGGATTTATGGTTCGGAAGTTTTAATCGGAAAGCCAAGTTCCAAATATCCATTTATATTCATTTTCGAGCAACTAAACTTGGGAATGATGTGAATCCCACTCTTATCTCCCCCACCTATAGGCTAATTAGTAAGACTTGCATCCCTAAATAATTATCTTCAAAAGAAAAAAAAATACGAAAAAATATCTTGCAATCTAAAAATATTTTCTGGCTTTAAATAACCTGCAAGGGTTTGATAAACCATAGAAAATGAATCAATAAATAAATAATATTAGTTATATTTTGTATTTGCACATAAATATAATTTAAATATAAAGTGGAGAATGTTAAAGTTCGTATTTAAGCGATTATTTTTTGGTTTTTGCTAATAAAAAAAAAATTAATAATAAAGCTGATGCTACTATTGCTACCATGACTAATACAGTCAGCCCTGTCATTTGAATGCAAACTTAAACCACTTGTTATACTCAATTACCGCCTCTATTGATTATTACTGTTGCGCTTGTATCATTACTGGAGAGACATTCCAAGATCTTGAAAGAATTGGAAATCCGAAGAAAAATCAAAACATTCCAGAGAGCCAGAAAAAAAAAATCAGTCATTTCATCTCCAGATTGGACAATATCAATAGCGTGAAAAACAGGATTTTTCAGAGGCTGGCTAAGAGAGATCGATCGATAAGCCAGGAAAGACCATATGCACAAAGCTCTGCGTCAAAGCGATAACATCGACTTACTTTATGTATATAAATAAAAATGGGGAAGTGGATAGAGGAAACAGAAGAGGTGGACATTGTTTCCAAATGGTCAAATAGGACAAAAAAATCGCAAAACTGCGGCGTAAATATCAAGTCTTTCGAAACATTTCTTGAAAAGAAAAGGAACGGGGGAAAAAGCGAGTAACTCAACAGGGGGAGAAAAAAATTAATTAAAAAAGCGCTCTTCACAGAATATTTAAGATAGAAACGATAGCAAACAATCATGAATACAGTACTGAAATAAAGTGAAAAATACTGAAGTCCAGGATCTCGTCCGTGAGCTATAAAAGTTTAAAACGGGAAGATTAGGCCTCCGCCTATAATAGGTGGCGTGTGTGGAACATTGGCCAAGCCAGTAGAGATACGTTCGAATAAATCAGGAAGTCGAGGAACTGTTCAGAATATACAGAACATGACGTTACTCAGGTGAAAATGAATTGTGAAAAAATATGATGCAGATTTCAGAAGACTTGCTGTCATTTACCAAAAAAGGAAGAAAGCGAAGAAGAGGAAGTAGATGAAGAATAAGGAGAATAAGGCGGAGAAGAGAAAGTAGAAGAATAAGGCGGAGAAGAGAAAGTAGAAGAATAAGGCGGAAAAGAGAAAGTAGAAGAATAAGGCGGAAAAGAGAAAGTAGAAGAATAAGGCGGAAAAGAGAAAGTAGAAGAATAAGGCGGAAAAGAGAAAGTAGAAGAATAAGGCGGAAAAGAGAAAGTAGAAGAATAAGAAACGATAAAGAGAGAAAAGAGAAAAAAGAAGAAAATAAGGCGGTTTAGTGAAAATAAGGCGGAAAAAAATAAAGGCGGAAAAGAGAAAGTAGAAGAATAAGGCGGAGAAGAGAAACTAAAAGAATAAGGCGGCGAAGAGAAACTAAAAGAATAAGGCGGCGAAGAGAAACTAGAAGACTAACGCGGAGAAGGGAATGTAAAAGAACCCGAAGAGAATGTTGAAGAAGGTCCGGAAGAACAGAAAGTAAAAGAAGGCGAAAAGAAAGTAAAAGAAGAACACATAGTTTTCTAGCACTTGCACCCCTGAAGATGATCTCGGGAAAAAGATCGAAAGTACTTCTTAACGTTTTAAGTTAATGCAAAAAGTCAACATCTTTTTACACTGTTTACATTGTTGAAACCGTTGTCCTCATCTTTACTCTAACATTCACGACGTTTTGGTCGTTCTACGCTCAGGCTTTCTTCATGGCCTAGGGATAAAAGAGTTGGTTGATTGGTCAAAAAATCTCTGGCCCCAGCGGATGGAACAAACACTTGGAGAATTCTCCAGGTAAATGAACTAAAACTGAAATATCCAAAAGCACGGCACGTAGAATCAGAACAATGTAACCCATTGGACTAAAAGGGTTCGGTATCGAAATTCCAACAAATATGACCCGAGTAAGGCCGGAGCGTACGACCGTGGAAACGTTGTATGTGACAGTAAATATGAGGACAACATTTTCAACAATGTAAACAGTGTAAAATGATGTTGACTTTTTGCATTAACTTAAAACGTTAGGAAGGAAACTCCAATCAGTAAGAAAAAGATAGATAACATTGGAATTAACAAGAGTATTTTCCTAAAAAAAAAAAAAAAAAAAAAAATTTCAAGAGAAAGGTTTTCTAAGCTTCAAGTGACAGTAATGTTAATAGTTAGGTCAGTGAATTCCTAACGTTTCATGGTAACAGCTATTCTCACCATTACCACAGAAATCTATAATGTGCTACACTTTTTAAAATTGAAAATAGGTATGCTCGTATTTCAAAACACAACGGAAATTTCAATAGATCCGGATTTCTTATATATAAACGCATGATTTGACACCCACAATATATATATGTATGTTAGCTCTATCTGATATTGAGCGCTTCCTAATAAGTCTCGCGCATATTATATATATATCTCAATTATTATACTAATAGTAATACTCGTTTGACAGAAAAACTTCGAACAGCTCAACTTGCAAGTATATCAAAACAAATTGGGAACTGAGGATAAAATTGAAAAAAAAAAAAAAAGAATGATCTAGAAACATCTGAACAAGGCGAAACAATAAGTTCAGTGCCTTAAGATTTTAGTCCAAAGAAAAAAAAACAAGCGAGTAATAAATTTAAAACGTAAAGTGCTCAATACGCTAAGTAGATCTGGGAGATTATATATATATATATATATATATATATATGGTTTTCGACAGCAAGGTCATATAATCAATGACACTAATTAAAATCCAAAAATGCGGCATCTTTGGGTCATCACATTCGACAGGATATTTAAGGAAAAATGAAATTACATAAACCCTGGAATGTTAATAACTCTCAGATAAGGTTAATCCATTTCTATACTTCATCGCGAACATTAAAACATAAATTAAAAAAACAAAAACCAAAAAAACAGTGATATGAAAAAATGTGTTTATTAGCTGAACATTGCGGACACATTAGATTAAATTATTTAAATTTATTTGTCTATATTTATGAGATGAGGTATTATGTACAGTATTTACATAAGTCGGACTATTGTCCTCATCTTTGTCGCCATATTTGTCACAACGTTTCGGCCGTTTTCAGGAGGTTGGAATTTCGAACTGAACCCTTTATTTCGATCACTGAGGAAGACTGTTCTTGTTCCACGTGCCATGTTTGATGGATGTCTGTTATCAGTTATCTCCTGCTAATTTTCCCTCTCAAAGGGGGCGGCCTGTCTCTCCTTTATATTCCTTTCCGCAGCTGCACGGGATAGCGTACACACAGTCTTTAGTCATGTTCTCCTCTGTGGGGGGGGGTCTCACTCGAGAGAGATATCTGCGAAGTGTTGTCACGCTTTTGAAGGTTGTCCTGATGTTATATGGACCGCAGATCCTTTGTATTTTCTCTGATAACCCCTTCACATAAGGCAGGCAGACTGTTTTCTGAGTGTTGTTGTCCTCCTCAAGCCTCTTGTACCCGCCTATCCCAGTTTTTGGTGGCTGCTAGCCATGTACCCAGGGTAGTTGTTACGTTGCAGGGTACTACTTATACTGACCAATTCCTTATCTAACGTCTCTGGGTCGCCACTTATGGTCCCCCATAGAGGAGAACATGACTAAAGACTGTGTGTACGCTATCCCGTGCAGCTGCGGAAAGGAATATAAAGGAGAGACAGGCTGCCACTTCAAGGTAAGGCTTCAAGAACACCAGCTGTAACGCGAGGGGAAGTAGAAAAATCAGGCATGGCTGACCACATATGGAGAGAGAAGGGAGATTACCGTCCCCTGTGGAATCATAGACAGGGAACACCATTGGAAAATTCGTAAACTTAAGGAATCAGCACATACGAAAATCTCCTGAGCCGACCAAACATAGAAATAAATACAATATGGGAACCAGTAATAAGGAGTGCCAGAGAAAAGCAATGATAACAATGTTGCAATATGAGCTCTGGTAAAAACATGTAATGATAACAGCAAAATTGCAATATGAGCACTGGTAAAAAATGGTGGCTGAAAACATTAGGATTATAATACCCAAAAATTCATACCCAGATAAAGTGGATAAAGGCGTTGGTTAGATCCGGTGACAGACCCAAAGAGCGTGAGTTCAATATCCGGTTAAGGGTATTAAGGCAGTGGAGAACTTTCAGAGGGAAAATTAGCAGGAGATAACTGATAACTGACATCCATCAAACGTGGCACGTGGAGCTAGAACAGTCTACCCCAGTGATCGAAATAAAGGGTTCAGTTCGAAATTCCAACCACCTGAAGCAGGCTGAAACGTTGTGACAAATACGGCGACAAAGAAGAAGACAATAGTCCGACTAATGTAAATACTGTTAAATTTATTTATAGTGGGAAAAGGTTGAGCTTTAAAATAAGTACTACAGCTCATGTTATAGATTACGCACTTTAGATAACAAAGAGCTAATTACTTTATTAAAGCTGTGGGGATACAAAAAGCGATTATCTCCCTTTGCGTAAGACGCGTAGTTCACATGACGGCCGCTTACTGAAATCTCTCTATACAGTGACGAAAGCGTCAATCAATTTCTGTCAGTTAACAGTCACAGTCTGTCAGTCAACAGTTTACAGAATCCCAAACCGACAGACTACCTTTTTACAGCCCGGGCTGAGACTAAATCTGCCTCCACCAGCAGCTTACAGGTATGTAGTGCCGTTTCCATTTCATTTGGGGATATATCTTTTAATTTTTATATATAAAAAAAAAAACTTTCGGTCTGCAGTTCCCAGTTTGAGCAAAAACCCAAAACTCAAAAATCCCCATCATGAAATATACCCTCGCCTGGGATAAAATAAATGAATCCGGAACGTTTGAATCTAGAGTCCTAAACATAGCTTCTCCAGAAACACTGAAGAATCTCCGTATTATATGCAAGGCACTTTCTTAGCATAAATTTATGTTTTGTGTATATTTTCGTGTTGTAAATATCTCTCAGAGAAGAAACCATGTTTGTTATTCTTTTTCCTTTTAGCTATTCCGTTCTGTCCGTGAATTACGTTATTATTATATCACCACTATAATGGCGGATATATAAATGGGAGAATAAACCTTTCTTCCATAGCTCTCTCTTCTAATAAAGCTTTTATGGGAGTTCAGTTTGCTATGCATATCCATTGAAATGTTAAATACATCATTTAAAACAAAAATGATTAACAACGTCATTTTTGTTAACTGAAAAGGTAATATATTGAATTACCATTAAGAATTTAAGAAATTACGTCGTATGAACATATTTGTCTTGACTACAATTAATTTGAAAGGCAAACTGGACCACCATACTTGTTTTGACTGATGTAATCTGAATTGATTTGCACAGCAAAGTGGACCATCGTAAAAGCTTTTATAAAAGTTATTAAAAATAGATATGAATTATTTAATATATAGTGATGTGAATTATTTAATATGTAGTGAAAATCAAAAATAACCAACATATGTCAAGATTCACAAATTAGTAAGCAAGTAAAAAAGGGCGCTTGCAAACATTTTTGAGCGGTTTGACTTTGCTAACTGAATGCAAACGTCGTCCAAACTAAGAATTGTTAATTGAAGTAACAGAAATCTATATATAAAATTCTGTGACTTCCGTTAGTCTGTCCGCCGGTCAAACCTCTAAAATAGCCATACGAAATAAAACGCTTTAAAAAGTTGAAATTTGGATCCAGAAAGAAATATGCACGCAGAGCCACTTGTATGTTGTATGCGCAAGATTAAGAAACCCTAAGAAATTATTGATGCTGTTAACAATGAAAAAGTAAAAGAATGAATTCCTATAAACTTTAATTAAATTAAAGAAATTATTAAACTGCGTAGAAAGTTTTATGCCAAAGTATTTTCCTCTCATTTCAGGTTGCATTTTAATGACGAGGAAAGATGGCAATTTCTTCCCTCAGTAATCAATTTACAGGTGTACATTGAATTTGTTCGTTAATTTTCGTATTCCGTTGATGATGAAGTCATTATTCAAGATGATAATCCATTTGACCTTAGAAATAAAAGAGAGATAATTCTTGTCTTTAGGAGAGACAAACCAGAGTCCAGACAACGATCCTACTGAAAATTTATTAAATCATTTTCTATACCAAGATTCCTGCAGAAAAAAAAAACAAAAAAAAAAAAAAACTGATCCGTCAATCGCTTTACAAGTAATTTAGAACTAGCTCAATGGAGTTTTTTTTTTTATTAATGAAATCCATTGCTAAAAAAATTATATCGGTCTATATTTCTGAGATGAGGTATTGTAATTATTTACATTCTTCAGACTGTTGTCCTGATCTTTAATACCATATTCATGATGCATGTCGCAGTAGATAAAAGCGTTTGTTGAATCCAGTGACTTGACACAAAGAGTTGTGAGTTAAATACCTAGTTACTGTAGTGGGGAACAAAAACTTGGAGAGTTTAGTTAAAGAAAAACAAGCGAGACGTCTAGAAGAGGCATGGCACGTAGAACTAGATTAATCTACCCGGGTGGAGGAAATTCCACTCATCTGAAGAAGGCTGGAGAGTAAAACGGCCGAAACGTCGTG